GAAGCAATAGTCAAAAAGCTCTCGGTTCACAAACACCCTGAAACGGATGGTTTCACAGGAGAATTTTAGAAAACATTTAAGGAAGAGCTAACCCTTGTCTTTCTCAGACTATTCCAAAAAATTCAAGAAGAAGGAAGACTCCAAAACTCTTTTTATGAGGCCAGCATCATCCTAATCCCAAAACCTGATAAAGAAACAACAAAGAAAGAAAACTAGAGGCCAATATCACTGATGAACATAGATGCTAAAATCCTCAACAAAACATTGGCATACCACATCCAGCAATACATTAAAAAGATCATCCACCATGATCAAGTAGGATTCTTCCCAAGGATGCACGGATGGTTCAATATTCACAGATCAATAAAAATAGTACATCACATAAACAAAAGAAAGACAAAAATCACACAATAATACTACCCAAAGCAATTTATAGATTCTACACAATCTCTATTAAAACACCAATGATGTATTTCAGATATAGAAAAAACATTTCAAAAATCTATGTGAAATCATAAATAACCCTGAATAGCTGCAGCAATTTTGAGAAAGAAAAACAAAATAGGAGGGATCACAATACCTGAAATACCTGAAATCAAATTACATTACAAGGCCACTGTAATCAAAACAGTCTGGTACTGGCATAAGAAGAGACACATAGGTCAGTGGAACAGAATAGAGAGTCCAGAATAAACTCATATCTCTGTGGTCAATTAATATTCAACAAAGGGGACAAGAGCATAAAATGGAGTAAAAATAGCCTCTTCAAGAAATGGTGTTGGGAGATCTGGAGAGCTACATGCAAAAAATTGAAATTCGACCACCAACTTACACCTTACACAGAAATAAGCTCGAGATAGATAAAAGACTTAAATGTAAGTCACAACACCATAAAAGTCCTAGAGGAGAACATAGGCAGGAAGCTCTCAGATATTCCATGCAGCAGTATTTTCACCAATATGTCCCCTAGAGCAAGGGACATAAAGGAAAGAATAAACAAATGGGATTTCATCAAAATAAAAAGGTTTGCATGGCTAAAGAAAATATCAGCAAAATGAAAAAGGAAAATATATTTGCCAATGATACCTCAGACAGAGGTTTGAGCTCCAAAATATATAAAGAACTCACACAACTCCCCTCCAGGAAGACAAACAATCCAATTAAAAAATGGGCAAATGTCCTGAACAGACACTTCCCCAAGAAGGACATACACAGGGCCCAGAAACATATGAAAGGATACGCAACATCACTATCCATTAGAGATATACAAATTAAAACCACAATGAGATACCACTTCCCACAGGTCAGAAAGGCTATCATAAACCAAAAAAACAAGTGCTGGCACAATTTTGGAGAACAGGGAACCCTAGTCCATGGTTAGTGGGAATGCAGACTGGTGCATCCACTGTGGAAACAGTTTGGAATTTCCTCAAAAAGCTATAAATGGAACTGCCTTTTGACACAAAGATTCCACTGCTGGGATTATACCCTAAAATTCCTAAAACACAAATTCAAAAGCACCTATGCACCCCAATGTTCATAGCATCACAATTTTCAATAGCCAAGTGCTGGAAACAACCTAAAGTGCCCATCAATAAATGAGTGGATCAAAAAACTGTGGTACATTGACACAGTGTAATACTATGCACCAGAAGGATAGAGCAAGCTACTATTTTTCGCAATAGCATCGATGGAAATGGAGAGCATTATGCTAAGCGAAATTAGCCAGGTGCTAAAAGACAAATACCATATGATCTCACCTATAAGTGGAACCTAATCAACAAAACAAAAACATAAACGAAAGAAAAAACTCTGTATAACGAATATTAAGTATTTTATAATATTCTTTTAGATATTAAAAAATTAATAATCTAGTGAATGCAAAAAGTAAGTATGTATATTTATTTATTTAGCCAACAGTTTAGTAATCAGATATCATCTGATTCATATTTCCATAGTTAAGAAACGTATACAATGTTTCTCAAATACAGACAGTTTTAATGTAGGAAATTAGCTAACACTTTAGTCATTGATGACAATTTTGTAAGATTTCTCAATTTGTCAAAGTGATTCACTATTTTTGCTTAAGGTTCAGATTAAGGTAGGGAGCACTAAACAGTTCTGTGGAGAGAAGAGGAATAATGTTGACGGCGATGACAGGGCACTGTCAAACATTTTTTAGCCTTGGGAAAACTCAATGTAAATTACTCTGAATAAGTCGAAGTGTAAGATAAGAAAACCTATGAATGTTTTTGTTTTTTTAAGTCTCTGAAGAATCTTGGAAGTAGTCAAGGAATCATATAATTTTATTCATATATACTTATCTGTGATATTACTTCCAATAAATCCTGGATTCATTTAAATGCTAAAATATTGGTATGATTCTTCTCCTGATACAAAACCTCCATAGCCAGCCCCTCAACTTGTGTCTGACGATCATGGTTTAAATTAGTGAAGCTAATTTAATGCTTTGATCTCTAAATTCTTGGTAGAAAGCTGTACTCATAAAATGATAATGATTTCATGTAAATATTAATGAAACAGCTCCACTTGAAAAACAGACTATGTGTTGTTCATTGTTTAGTAGGAGTTTCTATGGTTTAGTTATTTTTAAAATGTGACCATGACTTATGATGTTGTTATATTTTTAATTATAGGTAAAATGAATTATTTAAATCCATATTTATACATTTTCAATATGATGGCAGTTCTAACTCATTTCGTCTCAAATTATTTATTGATATTTAAGTAGAATTTAACTTAAGCAAAATGTTTTCCACTGTAAATGTCTTTATGTAATTTCCTGTTTACTTTTTAGGTCCTCATTCAGGACCATTATCATAAATGGCACTAAGCTATCAAAGAACGATATGCTCTATAATTATTGCATGAGATAAAGGAATTCAGAATGCAAACCCTTATTACAATCTACATTTTGTATATTAGGCTATATTCAGTTTCTAGGATCATACTTTCATTGATTTTTGCACAATTTACTTGCACAAGTTACAAACACTGTTCTAAAATATAAACTAAAATAAAAAGGGGAAAAATACCTCCAAGGGAACATTTTGTGGAAGAATAAAGAATTATCAGTTTGGTGCTATTATCTTTGCTTGTGTTTGGAATGGTCATTTTGGGTTGAAAAGTGTTTTGGCTCTTCCTCATTTTATTGACTTTTAAATTTAATACTGTTGACATAGATAAAAAAGAATCCAGATAAATGTCTGAAGAGATAAATTAGATCTCAGAGAACCATGCTAATGAAAATCTAAGAAGCTGTACCAATGCCAAATGGAAATGAGGCATTCTGACTTTTTGTATTTCCCTAACTTAAAGGATTACAGAGATGTGGCTGTGTAACTTCACTTTAAGTACTGATTAAGAAGTTCTTTTTTCTTTTTTTAATCTGAAATGTATTATAACCTAAAAGCAAAAGCAAAAAAGAAAAAAAAATTCCTACATTTGTATGAAGTCAGTATATCTAAATTTTAAATATTCAAATATTTATATTTAAATATAAATGTGAATTATAATATGTTCAAATCCACTACATTCAATATATAATTGATCCTCAAAATATAAATAATTAATATAAATTGAAATTAAATATTTCAAAACAATCAATATAAAAGTATTGATGAATAATTTTATACACTTTCTTTTAATATATTCAAAATTTAGTATGCATTTTGCACATATAATATATCTCAGTTCAGACTAGCCATAATTTCAAGTGCTGAATAGCCACATGTTGCTAGTGGCTACCTACTGGGAAGTATAGTTCTAGAAAATGTCATTTCTCTCACTTTATTACTGGAATTTAGAGAATATCTCATTAATATTCAGCAGAATAAATAAATGCTACATAAATACATACTCACTGTGGTATTAATTTCTTATTGAGTCCAAGTTTCTTTTATCATAAGCTTTTTCTTCTATTTTTATTTCTACTAAATAACAATCATAATCTTTCCTATGCAATGAAAGAGTTCTTTTATAGAGCTTATTAATCAAACACAATATTTAATAGAGTTATAGATCTCATATTTATCATTATTTTCCAGAAAAAGGTCATATGTAGTAAATATATTGAACTCAATCTTGCATTATTATTGTGAAATTGTCAATTATTGTTGTACTTAGATTTTACTATTGTGTATTAGCACGGTATTTCTGTATTTTAAAAAATATATTCTCTATTAATATGTAAGCATTTTAATGTACATATGGTAATAACAAATATGTGCCTATGTTAGAGTAAGCTTTTGGTGATTTAATAATTGCAAATCATAAACGTCACTCCAAGAAATTTCTGAGGAGATCTAGTATAGGACTCAGTGGTAGAACTCAAATCAACAATGCTTTTTCGAATTCTAAATTTCATTCGTAAAGTAATTATCTATGTCTAACTCACATATCCAGGTCTAGTGAGGGAGGCCTATTTTAAACCCACCAGACACCTAGCAATTTGAATAATAATTATGATTTTTAAATGTAGAAGCTCATGTTTTAAGGAGAAAGTGCTATAATGACCTATTTAAGACTGGATATACTGTCAAGAGCAATTCAGAAGCTTAAGATGTGAGCAAGGAGAGAAATTACTATGCCTAAATGTTGTAGACACATAAAATAGTCTTAGAAAGCAGATGGAAAATACTTGCAAACAGTGACTATTTTTCCAGTTATAAAAAATAATATATTTTAATCATTTGGGATTTGGTGGTCTCTCTTATTTATGAAAAAATAGCACTGCTACTTTGAATTACAGACAAAATTAATTTAAGAAAAAAGCCCATTGAAATTTAATTAACATATCATTGCAGTAGGTAGTCTTCAGTACTGCTCAGATTATAGAAATTACCACTTTTTTTAAAAATCACAATTGTACCACTTACCCAACTTTTTGCTTCTATCTTTACTCTCCTGGTAAAACCATTATGTGTTTAAAGGGAGAGAGCACAAAACATGTAAAGCTGCAGCAAAAGGTACAAGGATACAGTCCCTTCCTGGAAAGAGGATTTTGTGGCGAACCATTTCTCCCATAATGCATCCCACAGACCATATATCCACTAGAACAGGAGACAGGGAAGTGAAGAAAAGGGAGGAAAGTAAAGTTAACTAAGATAATTGATCTCTGAAGGAGGAGGAAAAAGAACATTTCGTTAAAAGGTACAATTTGTTTCCCATCAAAAGTTGGCTGAAAAAGTAACTGAAACCAGCTCTATAATATCACACAACTAATGTCTAGTATGAGTGTTCATATTAATTTTAAAAAATTATTTTACAGGTGCCTTAGATAGCCTCTTTAGTGCCATGAAATGGCTGCATGGAAAAGCAGCAACTAAACCAAAAGTATCTTCATCAACCTGTAGGGGTGGCTGTTTGCATTTTCTCCTCTACTCAGTTACATGGAATATGGGAAAAAGAGACTTTTTTTTTTTTGTACATGCAACCAAATCCAAGAAACTAGGAAATGGCTGGAGCCATGGTTTTGAGGAAGAAATATTCAAATCCCCAGTTTTAGGACTTGCTTTGTTTTTCTTTCAGAAGTAATTTTTATTAATAAATACCAGTTTTAGCTTCTATTTGAAATATTGCAAAAAATCACATAAGATTAATTAGCACATGTTTAAAAGAGTCATCTGTAAGTAAAGTAAATACGGGTATTAAAAGTATTTAAAAATTATCATATATGTATATTTATTTCTCAGTTGCCATACTTGTTAACCTTACATGCTTCACCTCCTCTTCCCAACTTTTCCCCTCTTCCAGATAGCTTTTTAGTAAGGACAAAGGGAAGAAGGGGGCAAAGCCATTAGGCTAACACGCTCTGTGGGGAAGGAAGGCAGGGTTAGGTGCACAGGTTAGCTGGACATGCCTGATATGGGAGCAAGCGCGTTTTTCTGCATGATAACATTCCTCCCATTCGTAAGTGGGAGAACAGCACAAGGGTGCTAGGCGTGGTTTCTCTGTGGCTCTAGAGATAAAAACAAAATGAAACAAAACAGAAACAAAAACTAAGGCAGTAACTTGCAACCCTTTCTAGTGAGGAAAACAGGAGGAATGAGATTATGCTTCATTTGTGCAACAAAGATTTACAAAGTCATAATAGGCAAATTCAGACCTCCTTAGATCTCTGCAGATCCTTGGTTTCTTGACATTATAAATTGGTTTTCCTTTGATTTGATTTGATTTGATTTGATTTTTTTAAAAACATTTGTGAAACGTACAAATATCTGATTTTCCAAATGAGTGAGATGTAGTATTGCCTTGGGAAGAGGACTAGATTTGCCTGTCCCAAGTCAAAATGTAACAGACTTTTTCCATTGTCTATCAAAGTGAACCTGACATTCCTAGAGCTGACTCTCTCTTCTAAGCAAATGCATAGCCCTGACTGATGTGGCTCAATTGACTGGGCATCATCCTGCAAAAAGAAAGGCCACCAGTTCAATTCCTTGCCAGGGCACATGCCTGGATTGTGGGTTCAGTCCATGGTTGGGAATGTATGAGAGGCAATCCATTGATGTTCGTCTCTCGTGTAGATGTTTCTTTCTCTCTCTTTTTCCCTCCCTCCCCCTCTCTCTAAAAATAAATATATAAAATCTTTTAAAAAATAAACAAATGCACAAAAGTACTGTCTTTCTCCAAATTGGAAGTACAAAAAAATTTTTTTAACTTTGGTGTTCAGAAAATTTTCATGAAAGTACCCTATGGCACCTGCATAGAACAATACAATAATACTTATTTTTATAGAACTTATAAAAAAGGGACTTCTAGGACTAAATAGAACAGAGTATAAAATAAATATGAAAGGTATTGAATACATATGAAAATCCTAATTTAAAACAAGTTTAATTCCTAAACACATTAGATATGTTATTTTTAATATGCTATATTATTTGTTAGAGATATTCTTTTCAAAATAATATAGTGCAATGTTTTCTGATAGATACTTATTAATCCTTCATTTTAATCAATTAAATCATATTGGAATACATTTTGAAGATTCTACCTTTTGTTTTAAAGTGTTCCTGTATCCTAGATTTTCTTTATGAAAGCAATGGTATAAAATATTTCTCTCCCTATAATTTTTGAAATTTATAAAAATTTACTAGGCAATTGCTACTCTAAATATTATTTACTGAGTACTTAAAGTAGTAAAGAAACTCATCTTGCTTGAACAATTTGGTTTATTCTAAATTGAGTATTCATTGTGCATTTGTGATAGTTCTGGCTCCAGGGATTTGTGATGTGTTTTCGTTTGTCTTTTCCTAGGCATAGAGTCATTTCTCTAACACATGACATAAAGCCAAATAGTAAATGTGGCAGATAGACATTTTTCTGTTTTTATACTCTGAGCCGAGCTGCAACCCAAATAGCGATTTTTCTTGGTACAGCATGTGTGCTCATTAGTATCCACTGACCGTTTAGTCAGACTCCATTGACAATTCTTTTTAGCTATAACATGTTAGTTCTCTTCTAGCAAACTTGCTTCTCAGAAACATCTTTGACACTTTTAATGAGTGATTCTTCCTTAGTAGTATTTAAAAAAAACAACTCTGAGTATGAAAGCTGGCAGCCCTATTAAAAACATTCATATACATGAAAGAGAACATTACTCTGGTTATCTGAACATATACTCATTTCCTTTGCAGTCCCATGGCTGCTACTCAGAAGCATCCCTACCGTTCTCCTTGTAGCCCATTCCCAGGATGACCTCAGGGGCTCTGTAATAACGTGTCACCACATAAGGAGTCATCATGAAGCTTGTGCCTGCGGTCCTGGCCAGTCCAAAGTCGAGAATTTTCAATGTACAATCAGACTTCACTACAATGTTACTTGGCTTTAGATCCTGACAATATGTACAAAAGAAAGAATTCGAAGCCAGCGTTAAACAGAATGTGTGATTTCCATCTTCTTGATCAACATGGTAGTCTTGCAAAAGCACTGATGGCCCGTCCCCTCACTGCCAGGCTACATAAAGCAAATGATTACTGACCAGAGGAGTTTACAATAGGTTTTCAGGGTGTTTTTTTTTAAATAACTTTCTAAATTTTTTTAAACCCAGAAGAGAAATATACTATCATTGTTACAAGTTAGGCTCATCTTTGAAAGAGTTTTTAGAAAAAAAATAATTTATTGTCATCAGTCAGCCTTCTCCTTATGACAACATAAACCTTTCAGCTATAGTTCATTTCTAGACCTGACAGAAGAGCAGATCAGGGCAGTTGTTTTTACACCGTCAGAAACAAACTGTGTAAATATAGTCTTATTTCAACTGTGTATATGACCTCTGCCAATTGAGGGCCTAGAAAACATGACGTTTCTCAGAAGCTGACTCTCAAGGAGCTAAAACAAAATGTTAAACGAAATCAACTACAGTATAGCTAAAGTTTCCTTCTACACATGAGTGAACTATGGGCTAGTTCTATCATTAAAGAAATGAGGAAGGATAGTATATTTAACCAAGCCCCCTATGTAAAGAAAATCATCTACAGTTGGTTCCTCTTCTCTAAAACACCTGAATTCTGAATTTGTAGTAGGTGTTCTTACCCTGTGAATAATTCCAGCAGAGTGAAGGTGCTTGATGCCACACAGCATTTGGTATAGAAGATAAGACATCCGTTCATGGTCTAATTCCATCTGAATCACCTGACACAAGTTGGCATCCATCAGTTCCATTACTAAGTAACTGGAAGTTAAATCCACAGTTTAGTTCCAGATCACCTGTGAATTGTTTCAGATAAGTCAAAATCCTCTCCTAAATCTGGAATTCTTGCTCACTTCCCAGCTCCACATAGGACTGAATGAAAAGTATAAAACATTTCCAAGTTTTGCAAACATGCTACGCATGGTAACTCTGCCACAGGTTGTCAATAGAAAGAGCTTTTCTTAGTGTGTGGTTCCTGTTTGTATATTTCTTACTTTCATCTTGTTCTCACTTTTCCCTGAATTCCCTGAAACTTTTTTCCAAGTATTACGAATCTACAAATTAGAAAAAAATTCAAAAAAGCATTTGCCATTAAATGCAACATGTCTGTATTAAACAACACAAGGTGTTTACTTTCTCTCCTCAGCTTATCATCACTACACTTCTAAGTAGTTTATTGTTTTTACACACAGTCACAGGCACCACAAAAATAAAAATAAATATTAAAGATAATTATTATCAGGTCCCTCATTATTAAAATATCTTAAAGTGAATTGATTCATTCTAAGAAGCTCACAGAATCAACAATAATAAAAAACAAATAATAAATCTTCCCTGAATGAACCAGGAACGTGGAACAATGAAGTACAAAGAACCAGAAGTCCAGAAAGAAGCAGATGTATCTTTCTGGAAAGTAAGACCAGAAATAGAACCTCTGTCCTAGCACTAGATCCCTTTCATTTTCTGTAAGTTTTTATGTCCCTTTGATCTCTACAATGGATTTAATCTATTTGTATTTTGTCAGTTTCCCTTGCGTTATTAGAGTGCTATGTTCTCTCTCCTTTCATAAGTTATGCTACTTACACATCTTGGAACTCCTCCAGCGTTTTCTGGGGTGTGAAGACATTTAATAAACTAATAATCTGGAAAAGAGACAGTGGAAGGGGCAGAGGAAAGAGTGAAAGAAAAAGGGAAAGAATAAGTTATTTTCAAAGGATATTTAGACTAGCATTTTTTTTTCCCCAACTCAAAGTCACACACTAGTTCTATGAACGGAAACAGAAGAGTTGAAAAAATTCTAGAACTGTCTCATAAAACATAGAAAAATGTAGTCAGAAGGATGTATGATTTGTCTTCAGGTTAAAATACAATTGAAAAGCTCAAATTCTTAGGCAAAAGGAAGAGCCAGGGTATACACATAATTATGACATTGCTTTCGAGTATGGATCTCCTTGGTAGAACATAAGGCTGAATGTGATTAAGCAACAAAGAAATAGAGCCATGTAAGGAAAGTGAGGCAGCAGTGAGATACCCAACAAGACTTAGCAGGACCATGTTTTTCTTCCAAGTGAAAAGGATGGTGCTCTAAACCAAGGTGGTGCTCTAATTCAAGATATTTTTTGTATTGTTACTTTAGTTTAATTTGCTCCTATTTCATACTCAAATATTATTTAAACTAATGTTCCAATGGTATGTGTGGGGAAAGGTACATCTTAGATGATATCAGTAATGAATTTAACAGAAAATGTAAAAAGGTATCAAAATTCTGTTTTTTAATTTCTGTGTTTCCAGCTTTATTTTATATATTAGATAGTAAAGAATTTTACCTTCTTGTATAATATTTTTAAAAATGCTTTTTCATATTTCAAAATAGATTGCACACATAACTCAAAATATTCTTTCAGCTAAATATTCTGTACTAATGTGCCAATAGAAAATAAAAATTAAAAAGTATAGATAATAATCTCATAGTATAGATGCAATTATTTTGTAAAAATTGGGTAAGTACAAGTTTAAGATTTACACATGAATTAAATCTTTAAAACATGAATTAAATAATTTCCATAAACTTCATGAGTAGTACAGAAATATATGAAGTAATAAAAATAAAACAAAATTATTTTAAACACCTGAGAAAAGCAGTCTGTTCTGAGGAATGTTTTTAGGCCTTAAATAGTTTTCATTTGTTAAGGAATTATTGAGAAAAAAATCATAATACCATCCAACATTTTCATATATATGGCAATGGTTATATCAAAAACCCAAGATCTTCTTTACAAAAGCAGCCTTGTAGTATGGAATATGCATATAGAAATAAAATTGTTTCAAACTCTCTTTAAAGCTTGTTATTAAAGTATCTTGTCATTCTGTATACTTAGTTACAGCCTGTGTTGAAAAATGTTTATGTGGTACATCTGTCATTGGAACATATATAGTGAGTCTGGTTTTCTAATACTTTATCAATCTCGAAACATAGCTCATTTTAACATTTATTCAAACAAAACTATCAGAGACGAGGGGTGGGACACACATATACACAACATAATACACACAACCTGTATCACCTGGTGAATAAATAATCTAGGTAATTCAAATTAATCTAGAAAATAGTATTATAATTTTAAATAAATCAAGGTTTATTGTTTTGAAAGGTAAATTCCCCACCACTATATATTCTTATTTTCCCTTTTCCAAAGCACTTTCATCTTCTTTTATTTCCTTTTGAGGATTTATCTTCTTTCTTTGTTCCCTTGTGAACTCTAATTCCTACTAATGAGTAATTTAAAATCTTGTCTAGAAATTGATCATCACAGGTATTTCCATTTTTGTCAAGCAGTTTCCAGGCAGGAATCTAATTTAGTTCTTCTATTCCAGCATCTTAAAATGCACAGATGCGAATCAATGTTTGTCATGGCCCCACAATCACACTGGCTACCACTTCCTAGAATCCATTTTCTAAACTGATCTTCTCTGTTATTAAAATTTTATTTGGGATTACTTCCCTGTTTCACTTTACTTTCCGCAACATTAACAGAGTTTTGCATTCTGACTGCTTCTACTTAATATTACAAGTACTAACAAAGAGGAAGTTCATATACTTCCTCTCTGAAGTTCACGTACTTCCCCTCTGTTAACAAGTCCTAGAAATGTATTTCCCAAAACTTATATACATACATGAATACATATATACACACACATAAAAGGTGGTAGCAGGTAGCATGCCATTTACAAATTATGATTTCAATTTAGAATTTCTTTTTATGTATCATAAATGTGAACCTCCCTATTTCATGTAAATGTGAACTCCCCCATCAAGAATGGGAAGTATGATTCCCTCAGATTCTCAAGTAAGTGGGAATTTCTTTACAATGTGTGTATTGCATTATAAGGACTGGAAGGAGGATTAGGGAAATATAAACATATGGAAACACAAAATATCAAAATGTTCCATACAGTTACTTCATTGCCCATGGTATGTCTTATTTTCTTTGCTATTGTAAAAATAGGTTGCATTGGTCTTGTGGTTTTTCTTACCCTTGACTTTATTTACCATACTAAAAGTACAAATTGCTTTAGTAGAATGACTTTTCTTTGGAATTATCCTTTCCATCATTTCCATGTTCCTCTATAGAAGTGCCATGTTCCTTCCATAGCCAAATTAAAGATGGGTACATATTTCATAAAATTTCCTTTTCTTAATGGGTCATTCCCCATTCAACCTATTTCAAAGAGTAACCTTATTCCACCCAACATTGACCAGAACTTTTTGTATTCCTTTTCTGCTTTGTTTTACTTAATAGTACTTATCACTATTCTATATTCTATACTTTTACCTGTTTTTTTCATTTTTTCTTTTCTTTTTTTATGTTTTTTTGTTTTTTCTTCTTTTTTTCTTTTTTCTTTTTCTTCTTTTTTTATTTCTTTTTCTTTTTTAAAATACATTTGTCTCTGCCTTCCCCCCTATCTGTTTTGTAGACTGGCTTTCTCTACCATTAGAACATGAGCTCCACATAAGCAGGAGTCTGTCTCTGTTATCTTCACTCTCTGTTCTTAGTTTGTGTTTAGAGTATCTAGATCTATATCTGGTACATTATATTCATTCAACAAATATGTGTCAAATGACTGAACTAAAAAGTCATTGGAGTAGTGTAATAGAGGAAAAGAAAAACAAAGTCATTGGGCCTGAATCCATATATTTGTATTTCAAATATCCTTCAACTAAACACTCATATACTTGCTTCTTCTAGTGTCATTGATAGATGTGTCTTAAGGCAAATTCACTTGTTTATAAACCTACATTGACAATTATGTTCTACATTGACATTACATTACAATTATATATAGAATGTATGTATTTTGTGTGATATTCTTACTTAAGAAAAATATTGTAGGGAGTTATGATAGCTATTATTTCTACAGTTTTTATAATGATTTACAACATATATTTATATGTAATAAAGTATAGGTACTATATTTTAATGTATTAATAATAATCATTATTAAAATAATGAATTATCTCCCATTTGTTGTTACTAAGAAAAACAAAATATAGAAAGAATTCTAGAATCCTCTGCCTATCATTGAAGAAGCTTATATTCTGAAGTGAAGAGAGTCCTATAATGGCCATATCCTACTGAGTTCTGATGAGAAATGTTCTTGATGATCCTGCTATGAAGTGCTTTGCAAATGTCTCCCTGCACAGTTGCTCAACCCTACAAAAAACAAGTTGCCAAAGCACAGTGTGTACACTGAACAGTTGGAGGCTACTGCCAGACTATATATAGCTAACAGAAAAAGGAGATAAAAATCTTCACCTGTTAATAATTAAATTGAAATTGTAAAGATATATTGCATGTTGTTCTATAGGATATATTTTTTGTTTGTTTTTATTTTGGGAAAGCATGAAACTCTCTAGTTAATTTAGAGCAAAATAAGCAAATAAGGTTAATTTCATAACAGGGAAATATCTATCAAATTCATCCCTTCCATGCCATATGGTTTTTAGATGATTTTTAAGCAGAAAGCTACCATGAGGACAATGAAATTAAATTTAGCATATGGGCAGGATGAACAAACTTGAGACAGAAATTGCAAAATAAGGAAAGCTTTTCCTACGCAAGTTGGCATACTAATTTTTTTGCCCTGATCTCACAACCTTACACTACCCAGAGGTTTAAAAATAACAACTCACGTTTTTATGGTTCACACACTTCATGAGGACCAGTTCCCGGTAAGCTCTCTTGGCATGTGTTTGGTTCTGAAAGGGTCTGCTGAGCTTCTTAATGGCCACATTTCTGTCAAGGACAGCATCATATGCAGCACTGCAGAGATTCAAGAGCAATCCAGAATTAAGAACAAAAGAGCCCTTAAATTCCTGCCTACAGAACTAAGAATATGGGTGAAATAAGAAATACTACATTATTTCTTACTCAGATACCCTCTCCTCAGGCCACAGGTCAACAAGGCTGTGAATAAAAATATGAGTGGTCAGTATAAAAACACCTTACTTGCAAGGATATAAATTAAAAAGAAAGAAAGAAAAAGAATCTTGGCAAGAATACACCATATAATTGCATCAGTGAGTGAGAACAAGAGAAGAAAAACAGTGCTCAGCTTTCCCACCAGCCATGCAACTGTGTGCAAGTCATTTTCTCTCTCTGGGCTTGAATTTCTCCTCTAGTGATATGTGAAAGTTAGGTTTCCTCTAGCTCTGCCTTCCTTTGGTTATTTTTAGTGGACATTCATTCTTTCCCTATTCAAAGATACCATTGTTGAGATGTGATGTTAATTGCCACGAAAGCACAGGTTGGTTGATATTCAGAGTTCACCCATTAACAATAGCAAGGCTCAAAATAGGGAATGCAACCACACAGGATTTCAGAAGCATAAATAATATTTATTATTTAAATACAAACATGGCAATGAAAGCCACTTACTATTTGAGAGTGATCATTTATCACGCTTTGAAAAAGCAATCAACACGGTCCTATTTCTCCCGCACTCCGAACACACAGGTCAGGGACCAAATGAGAAAGTGTCTTCTTGGGGTTATACCTAGTGACCTACTAACAAAATTTTTTGTTTTGTTTTTTTCCATCCCTGCAACTCTATATATTATGCTAAATTGTCTGAGTTGCCAGAAAGGGTGTATTAGTTACTAGCAACTAGTGTCCCCTACAATTAATCTATTGAATTGGAAGTGACAACACTATTTAGGGTTAATGCCACTAAATTAAAAGACAGACAAAAAGGATTACTGTGTTGTAAGACAATGATACACTCACAGGATAAGTTTGGACAAAGTCTTAAGAGTCCACTGATCTATGTCTCCATTCAATACTTATTCTTCTCCAAAATGTCTTCATCAAGAGTCTGACCAGGGTCTGCTTGAGCAGCTCCACAAACATGAACCCCTTTAACATTAAGGCAGCTCCTTCTGTTATTGGACAGCTTTGAGATTAGAAACATCATCATTCTGATAAACAGAGTTGTCTTTCTGTGGAATGTATTGATTACTGCCAGCCTTGCCCTCTTGGGCAACTCAAAATATTTTCTTTTCATTATGATAGACCCATAATATTTGAAATCTATTAAAAAACTGAGCACAATGTCTGGCCTCCAATTATTCAGTAATGCTTAGCTTTTCTTAGTTTTCCCCTAAGTCTTTTTTTTTTCTTAAGCTAAATAACACCAGTGTCCTCCCACCATTTGTCAGAAAGTGATTTCAAGCCCCAACACCATCTGGTCAGTTCCCTCTAAATATATTCCAGTCTGACAAAGCAACGCTGTACTGAATAAACTTTGTTACTCTAGGCATGGAGGGTCAGTGAAGATTAGGGTAAGGCTATCAACTCCCTCAGTCTTTCACCAGCCCATTCATTTTTGTTGACACAGTTAATACTAGTAAGTTTATCCTGGCTCTGTTGATAACTACACATCACACACTACTGACTCACAGTGAGTGTATGTGAAATCAAAATGCTGTCTTTTTTAAAATCTGTGCTGCTATTAAACTCTGTATGTCAGCACTGATCCTTCTGTTCTTATTTCTTCTTGTTAACTTACCACTGGCTGTACTTGTAAAAGAATCAGATGGATCTGCAGATTATATGTAGTACACAAGGACAACAATAGTTGATTTGGAGATATAGAAATTATAATTTCTAAAGTTAAGAAATTGTACCAGCAGTAAATTGATCAGAACAGTCACCTTAAAGAGAAAAAAAGTAAAATTTAATCCAAAACAATTTAATTGAAATCATTAAAATATCTAAAGAAAGAATAGCAATCGGTCATAAAAGTGTATAAAAAGGAGTTAGAAAGACAAATTCTGATACTGCCTGGCCAAATAAGAAAGTGCCTTCCAGGCAGGTCCAGGGGTCCCATGTGCCAGCAGCTGTTTACATCCTCATTGCAACTGCAGCCAGTTAGCATTCTGATCACTGTCTCCTCACGCTGATTCTGTCCTCTGACGTCAACATTCTGCTTATCAGCCTCTCTTTCAGAACCTTGCATGCAAGAATATTGCCGATATTTGGTCAGTTTGACTGTTATATTTCTCATAAGTTAATTAATTGGCATCTGGTTTTATATGTGAGTCTTCAGTGAAGCTTTGAAATGTGAGTTTGAGTCCCTGAGGTACTGACCAGATCCTGCAAAATAGTGGGCTAGCCCTAGACTTCATGTGGGATAACGGAGAAATTGCCACTCCTTGGCTTTCTTCACAGGTACAACACTGGCCAGTTTCTCCCAGAAATGTGGTGGCGTTCTCTGTCCCTATTCCCTCTTCCTTGAAGCAGCTTTAGGCATGAATCTCATCATGCTGCTTATCTGATAGGAAGCTGAGGACAACCCACTAACCCACTTGCCCTTTCTGCCTTTCCCCACATTTATAATAGAAATAATAACAATGTAATGTATGTACAGTGCCTCACCCGGAATGAGCACTCGATAAATAATGACTATTGCTAGTTTTAAAGATCAATGTTCTTGCTGGAGTCATTGTGTAATGCTGGGCAAGATAAAGTATAAATTCCTACAGCATGTGTTATAATTGGACCTGAATCTACTAATCAGCATTTCAATCTATTAATTACAAATCCATATAACAATACCACTATCTTGACCACATTTCACAAGTCTGCCCCATGATATAGAAGTTTGAGGCAAAACCTTGTTAAAATCTAGATATGGGGTAGCCATACAGTTCTATTACTTACCACTTTAATAAGCAATCCAGTATCATTTGTTTTTAAGGAATTCTCTGTCTTCATGACCACTGTACCCATTCTTAATGGCTCACAGAATATCTTTTCAAACCACACTAGGACCAATGTCAAGTTTAATAGGTGTCTCTTATCATTTCTTTCTTCCCTCTGAAAAAATAAAACTTTCCTGTCTATAGTTGTGTGGAATGCTGTTGTTTGGGTCATTGAAATTCCATTTGACTCCTCTGTAACATGGCTTCCTTCATCAAAGAGACCTGAGAGTTAAGTATGTAACTCTCAGATATTTTTAAAGCTAGCACTGTGGACTCCAATAAAGTCTTGCCACGCAGATGCAACTATGAGAGATTTGTACGGAAAAGGTGAGGGTGGTCATCTTCTAACACTGCTTGGTTGGCAAGCAAGGTCGTACGGAGATGTGAGATATTCTTCCAAAGCAATGATTCACGTCATTCTCTGGGTGAGAGGAGTTGAGGCACAGCTGCAGTGGACCCCAGGCTCCAGTGCACAGTCACCAGCCTGAAGGAATAATGGTAGCAGCAGAGACGAGTGCTAATTCCAGTCCTATGATTCTTAGTTACACACTGTGTTCTGGAAGCCTGACAGTTGTAGGATACTCTCAGCGGTGACAGCTTCCCTGGTGATTCAGGTCTGGAGTGTCTGGGAGTCATTCCGGGAAGCCCAGACTGGAGCTCACTTCTCTACGCCCTCCAATGATTTTGCAAGCACCCAATTTACCGTATTAAAACTATACTTAATATGTTTCTGTCTCCTGCCATGAACCCTGGCTGACACTACAATCTTTCCCATTTTCTGTAATTCCTGAGTGATTACTGGCAGCAGTTTAGCAAATATATCTACAGACTGGCATCATTGATGCTGCATAGTAGGAAATTAATGCCTGAAAGTTTTTTGTTACTCTTGAGTCATCTTTTTTTAAGAGTCAGTCTGTAGAATCTTACTTTTTTTTCATTAGTTTCTCATTCTTTTATCTTCCTGCAAGTAGAAAAGATTTTTCCAGAAATTTTGCTGAAAATATTCCAGGAATTTTTTACCTACTATACTAACAGCTTCACTTCTACCAGGGTTGTTCAGAAAAGTAAGATACAGCCTTCTGTTGTTATGCTCTGTCACTTCATACAGTTCCATGAAGCTATAAAGCTGTTTACCTACTTAAATGTATTTATATAAATACATACATATATCTCTGCAAAAAAAATTTTATTCTAAAAATATGTATCATTATTATCCTTTTGGCAATTGCAAGCAACCTCTTATACAAATGTTTTTCTTCCAAAATCATAATCATTTATTTGATAATTTTTTTTGTTCTCCTTACCTTTCACATTTAAAAATATTCTTGGACATATTAACATGTTTGTGAGCAAAACCCAAAACAAAACAAAATGAAAAAAGAAAACAAAATTTTAGGCATCATGAGAACCTTATCTCTTAAAAACAAACAAATGAAATACGTATTATTTGAGCATCTGAAGCACCATAAGCCACAGCCTGGCAAGCCCAATTCTGTCCTGGGATATATTCTGAACCCTACATTGCTCTTTCCCATATTCCCACATTCTCGCCTTGACCTTTTCCAAAGGCCTGGTCCGTAATTAGAAGCTATCAAAAAAATCTCCATCCAGTGCACTTGAATATCTCATCTTCACGCCCAAACATTACAGTCCTTTAAGATGCTATTGAGATATCAGTTCCACCACTGACAACCACGTGGGTGAACCTGCTAAGTTTACCTCTGCCTCGGACCTTGGGGATTGTTTCTCCTTTTGCCAGGAATGCTCTTTTCACAGCGTCACTTTCCTGCTCCATCCTATGATTCAGGTTTCAGCCCAAATATCCTCATCAGTAGAGGTTTTTCCTATTCACCCCGTCATAACTCAACAGTTGATTTTTTTAATTGGTTATTTTTGTCTTTGAGTAGCTTGGCTGTATCAGTTTGGTTACATTTTGTTAGGGATGCTTTTGATTATAAGTAATAGAATCCTGACTAATAGTGACTTAGTAATAAAGGCAGTAGTTATATAACAGAAAGTCTAGAAGTAAGCATGCCCAGGTTTCAGGGATACATTATAACA